AACAAAAATATTCTACATATACACTAATATCTCTAGAGAAGGAATATATAAATGTCAAAAGCTAAGGCCTGTACTCTACACAGAAGATTTCTATACATTTAAAATAAATGAGGTGTTTAGAATTACTGCCAGCAGCCCTAGCAAGAGAGGCGGGGAGGATGGGGGGACACGACAGTTTGTTGATTTATCCAGACTTGTTTTCTTGCAAATTTTTTAAAAAATCCCTAGCATAATTCTATATGATGTAATTCTAGATCTCCAAATAAGGAAATACTTTCACTAAATGTAGATGGATTGGACTTAAAGTACAGAGTACTATAATTTAAAATCTTCAGCAATCAGCCAAAAGATAAAAAAAGGAGGTGCCTGGTGCAAAATATCTGACATAATTTTTTTGCCCTTCATTTGTTCAGCTTTGTACCTGTATAAATCAGTTTGGCCATGATGACTGCAGGATTCACAGCCATTCATCGCTCAGTGACTTTGATGAAATTTTTATTGAATCAAATGCAGTGGATTTCTAATTACTGTATGACACTCAGTTCTTTAGTGTTTCCTTTGATGAAATCTTTATGAAATCTTTATTTGATGAAATGCAGTGGATTTCTAATTATGATATTCAGTTCTTTAGTGTTTCCTTCTAGCCATCAATATCTCATAAACAATCTTATTTTACAAGTTGCAGAATGATAGTTTAGGGAGAAGTATTCTACCCGGGATAAGATGTTTCACTCCTTATCCCAGTGATGGCTAATCTTTTTGCCGTCGCATGTCAGGGTGGGTCATGCGCACGCGTGCCCACACCCATAATTCTATGTGGCCTGCCCCCACGCATGTGCGTGTGAAGGTCCCACCGGAAGTTAGCAAATGGGCCATTCCCTGCCTCGGGGGGGGGGGAGGCCATCCCCAGGCTCCTAGAAAGGCTCTGAAGGCTGGGGAGAGCAAAAAATGGGCCTTTCCCACCCCCACCCCCGAGGCCCTCTGGAGACAGGAAACAGCCTGTTTCCCTACTTCCAGTGTACCCAGAAGACCTGAAAATCAGCTGGCCGGCATGTGTATGCGTGCCAGAGCTGAGCTCACGTGCCCACCAATATGGCTATGCATGCCATAGGTTCGCCATTACAGTCTTATCCTAGCCAAGCAGGAGGAAGAGGAAGCAGAAAGAAGGCAAATAGATGAACAATACATTTTCACAAAGTTATATGGTTTTTTTTTTTTTTGGTCCATCCAGCCACCCAGTAACATTAGACTTCTTAAGATAAGGTGGACTAAGGCATTTGTCTTCAACTTGGCATCTGTCAGGTGTGTTAAAAATTTGTATAACTATGCCAGTTTATTTATTTGTCAAATTTATGCACTACTTGTCTCATTAAGTGACTCTAGGCCAGAGGTCAGCAACCCGTGGCTCTGGAGCTGCATATGGCTCTTTCATCCCTCTGCTGCGGCTCCCTGTTGCTGGTCAGCTCCACAATTGATGGGGCTTTCGGTTAGGATAGGTAGAGGAAAAAGGATGCCACACTAGGAGGAGACTCTATGGTGGGGGCCTGGACTTCCGGTCAGCAAAGGAAAAAGGACACCGCACTAGGAGGAGACTGATGGGGGAACCTGACTTCTGATCGGCTCCAGAATTGAACGGGGGCTTCCGGTTAGAACCTTTGTGGCTCTTTGAATGATTAAGGTTGCCAACCCCTGCTGTAGGTGGTCTACAAGTAAAAATAATGATAAATTTGGCATTATGAGAAGACATCTGGTTGACTGAGCTAAGGAAAGAAAACTAATACCACTCAAGATTCCATTAAGAAAGCAATCTTTGATAGATTCTCTTCCAGGTTAGCAAATAACATTTTAATTCCTTAATTAAATTAAAGTCACTCTTTTGTCTTGGCTTCACCCATTCATTTCTCCTGCCCTCCCCACATCTTGGAGAATATGATCCTCAACATATCACACGAAAGCCATATGTGGATATTTGCTTGAAAAGGCTTATTTATCTATGCCATACACTACCTTAAATACATAGATAAGCGTTCACCGATTTACTCTTGACTGCGGGACACTGTAGACATTTAACAATTGTGTCCCCAACTGTGATCTATGGAATGTGCAGTAGGAATTTTCAGTGCCATGCGTGATTTCTGAATTTACACTGAGGTTGAATCCCTACTGAAAAAAATATGGTGTTCAGTTTAAATAGACGATGATTATGATGATTTGGCTCCTGCTGGGCTCTTGGCAGCTTGCAAGAAATCACACAACAAATATATGACAAGCCTAAGAGTTTAACCCTACACATACTTAGTGTGGAAGAAGTCTCCTTCAGCAAGGAAAAAACCATATCAATTTTGTGCTGCATGCCTGCATTTATAAAACTCTTGAGCCAGGGAGTACTGAAATACTGTGAAATATTTGGAGTAACATGTATGATTCCTTAAAAAAAAACCAGAACTTGCTTTAGAAAATGCTGAATTCGGATAAATGCAGGTGACCTTCAGAACTGCGATGGAAGAGTAGTCATTTCCTTATATATCTGCCTCTCATTGCAGCATTTTTTCCTACTTGTACACTCAGGCATTCTCCATGTTTCGTTTTTCTCTACTTTTTTTCCCCTTGAGCACAGTGCTACCTACCTTTTAGCAATTTGAAAGGGGACAGCCCACTCAAACTTAGGGCTTTGAATAATAGTCTAACAAAGCAAATAGTCCTTATCTAAATGACAGCAGCAATTTTAAATTTCCCCCAAATTCAAAACTGAAAGCAAAGTTTCCAAAGAAAGGAGCCAGAAGTTAAGAAAAACGGATCCCTCTTCCCCTGAAACCATCGTACAAACTGAGACCGTTTGCTTATGTCCTCCCCAAATATTCACTGCATGCTCTAAAACAGAGTGAAATCAAAATTAGCAATTCTGTGAAACAGCTAACATGTTAAGAAGATGTGTTAGGGCTTCATCATAAACATCAAACAAAAATATTAGCTCTTAAAGACATGATGGTCACTGTAATCGCTAAGAAGGAGCTATTTGGCCAAGAACTGACCATGTATTCTTAATTTATGATGTGATGGTAATTCTTTGCTACTTTTTAGGCCCATTTCAGTTGAATTTTGCAGAGTTCTTCAGTTATTCTTCTGAGGCTTCAAACAAAATATAATATCTTTAAATCTTACTATGCTTTTCAAGGTAGGATACCACATGACTCACATTAAATAATAGTTTAACATTTTTATCCAAAGTATTATTGCAGCCTCTTGCTTAGACTACTGCAATGGGCTCTACATAGAGTTTTCCCCTAAAGAACGTTGGGAAACTTCAACTGGGGCGGAATGTGGCTCCGTTGGTAATAAATGATGCCAGATGTAAGGCGCATGTAATACCACTGCAGGTAGTCCTCGAGTTACGACCACAATTGAGCCCAAAATTTATGTTGCTAAGTGAAACATTTGTTAAGTGAGTTTGCCCCGACTTTTCTTGCCATCGTTGTTAAGTGAATCATTGCATTTGTTAAGTTAATAACATGGTTGTTAAGTGAATCTGGCTTCCCCATTGACTTTGCTTGTCAGAAGGTTACAAAAGCTGTAACAGTCATAAATATGAATCAGTTGCCAAGGATCTGAATTTTGATTATGTGACCACTGCAACGGTCATAAGAGGGGAAAACTGTCATAAGTCTCTTTTTTCACTGCCATTCAGGGATTGGTTCTACTGGTTTGCAACGGGATGCGCAGATCGCTTCTGATGATGTCAGGGTCAGTGGGTGGGGCCTCCCACCAGTTTTACTACTCTATAGAACTGGTTTGAACCAGGGGCAACCCACCACTGGTGCCATTGTAACTTTGAACGGTCCCTAAATGAACTGTTGTTAGTTAAGGACTACCTATACTGTATAAGTATTAGTAATCAGTATGCTCTTGGATGTGATTCCAGGTGTTGGTTTCCCCTTTAAAACTATATAATTTGGGATCGGATTAGCTGAGGAATTGGCTCTTTCTAAGAGTCTCTACCTGTCTAATTCTATTTAGCATGCTGCAGATCCTGTCAGCCAAAGAATATTGACTAGTGGGGACTAATAGGTGGGCCTTTTCTTCAGAAGCGCCTGCTCTGTGGAATATCTTCCCTTCAGAAATTAGAATGACTCCAACGCCTATTGGCTTTTCATAAGGCTTTAAAAACCTGGCTGTTTTGAGTCTGGGCACTGAATTCATTAAAGGCCCTGTTTCCTGCCTTTAATGTTAACTGGCCATGTATCTGGGCTGCTGTGTATATTTATTTTGGATGGTTTTTATAACTTACTTGTTTAACATGCTGCCCATCTCCCCAGTTAAGTCAATTCTGGGTGTTTTTGTTTTAAAAACTTTTTAAAAATTTTTTAGTATATATATTTTGAATTATAAGCCATCCAGACTCATTGGTTGAGATGGGCAGCTATAGAAATTGAATGAATAAATAAACAAATAAATTGTAGGACTGCTAACTTCTTGTAAAAAAAAACCTTGTTTTTGTTTACACTGAATTTCTAAATTTGCTGTAGTACGTTTCTCTAATCTCTGCATCATTTCTCTACGTTGGTAGCAGGGGTGAAATCTAATTTTTTTCCCTACCGGTTCTGTGGGCGTGGTTTGGTGGGCGTGGCAGCGGAAGCATACTGCAAAATCTCCATTCCCTCCCCACTCCTGGGGGAAGGCTATTGCAAAATCTCCATTCCCACCCCACTCTGTGGCCAGCCAGAGGTGGTATTTGCCGATTCTCTGAACTACTCAAAATTTCCACTACTGGTTCTCCAGAACCTGTCAGAACCTGCTGGATTTACCCCTGGTTGGTGGGTAGCAACTTGCATTTTCATTAATGAACAAGCAATGCTTACATGCCTATGGCACATGCTGTTTCGGGTCTACTGATCTGACAAGCTACCTGTCAGATACTCTGTGGGCTGATGTTGTAACTAAAAAGCTTTTTAAAAATTAAGTCTGCTATGTGGAGTCCTGATACAAAAACATTCTTTTGACAGATACCACCCAAATAGCCATCATTTTAACTTGCGGTTATCACAGAAATCAACTTGGTCCTGATTTGGTCCAGAAGCACCTGTATTGAATTGAGAGGTGAGAGAAATGAACATATCTTGCAAGCAGACTAAATGTACTGCCAAGAACTATGCATAACTTCCATTGAAAATGAATAAAGACCATTGATTTTTAAAAGTAATCTTGTATCCTGATATAGAAGGGGTGCAAAAGTTCATGACAATGATCAGGTCAATGAGGCAGTTTCTAAATACAGGATGGGGGGGGGGGGGTTTCCTGCCAAAGAAATTCTGAAACACTAAGTGCAGTTCATTCCAGAAACCATAAAACATGACATTCATATTTAGTGGTTGAAAATTTACACTTTTGTTTGCCTTTGCCAATGTCTTACTCTTCCAAAGGAAAACATATGGAACTTGACTATTTTAGTACGTACATTGATAAGTTTCAAAGCCATCTAAAGGAAGGCAGATTGTACTTTTATCTAAGTAAGATAGATAAAATCAGCATGGACTAAAATCTTCAGCCATGAAAGCTCACTGGACCACTTTTCGTCTCCACCCTCCTTCAGAAAATAGTTGTTTGGGAGAAAAGTATTGGAAGAGGGAGTGCTATCTGTACCGCATTGAACATCTGGAGGCAAGATAGGATAAAAATACTCTATGGAGAGTGTACCTTTCAAACCTCATTCTATGATGATGATCGGAGACAATGTTCTACCTGTTCAATAGCAGCTGTATGGGTATTCAGGAAACTTAAAACCTAAACTTGGCTGTTTTAGAAAGCCTTTCAGGATTGATAACATGGTGAGTCCTCTCCTTATGCCTACTGTTTGTGTGTTAAGCCAATGATTTATTATTCTTGGTTTTGGAATGTTGTTCCTTTTTCTTGTTATTTTATTTTTGCATTATTTGTTAGTTGCTTAGAGTCTTTTTGGAATTGGGTGGCATATGAATTTCATTAATAAAAAAATAAAGCAAAAGAAAACATAAACAGTATAGAAGATAACAATACAGTAGTGTTCTGCCCCAGCTACGGACCCCAAAGAACGCAACACACACAAACTCTATACAAAGCTTATTTTACTCCAATAACTTAGTCTTTATCATTCAAAGGCTGTTAATGAACTGTCTTAACATCTTACCAGAATTCTAAGATAAGGTAATCACAGTCTTACTAGAGTTGGCAGAAAGGCCAGAAGCAATTTTGCAGACACAAAGGAGAGTGAACTAAAGTTGTTTTCTACAGCTTGTTGCAAGCGGCATTCCTTCTTAAATAGGCTAAGGGAGTGACCAATTACCCCAAGCCTTACTCTCAAGGAGACCTCCTCCTGAGGAGCCACTCCTGCCTTTTGGCAGCTCTGTGCGCCCGTGCATTGAGAAGAAGCTCCTCCTCTTCGTCCTCTTCACTTAAAGGAGCTTCTGGAGGTTCTGAAGGCCCTGGCTGAATCCCTGCCTCTGGCACTACATCTTCTCCAGTCTCTTCACTATCCGACTCGAGCGCCAGCTGCACACCAGCCTCCTCATTGTCGGAATCAGCTACAATCTGCACAGGCCGTTGACAGGCCACAACAAGTAGGTATTACAGAGATGGATTTGTTTTAGTATTTAATTCTGAGTATTTAATTTCTTAACAACAATTTGAGAAAATATTGAGATTTCTTAAGAATCCTTGATGGCAGGGTGCAATCATAATCAATTTAGCACTTCATAATTTGTAACGATGCCTTCTGTTTTGTAAATGAAAGTTATGAAGAAGTGATCGCCCCCACAGTGCTATTATAGAAAATACATTGTTGTATCCATAAATTCATTAGCACATTTGTGCTGCTATTACAATAACTGAAAGCAAGAATTGCCTAAGAATTCAGTCTACTTTTAGATAGATATCTTCAGACTTGGTTGTATTCTAGGCAATATATAATTCTAACAACATGTAGGATTAATTGTTCTCTCAAAGGACATGATGAAGTAGATATTGAAATAGGGTGATTCTTTATTCCTACAACATCGAATGTGAGTTGAAGATTTTGTTTGTGCAGTGTGTATCTAGTTTTTCTTCAAATTTGGTCAGGATAGGGAATTTTTGTGTCCCCTCATTTATCAACATTATTTTGAGATTTAGGCCAAAATTAATTCCCACTTTCAATAAACTCCTTAACTAAACTGGTCTGATTCCAGTTGTTTTGTTGCCAGAAGTGAGTCGCAGATAGTATCTCCGGTACCCTCTTCCAAAATTCCTGCACTCCAACATTGGTCAAGTCCTTTAATATTCGGAGGGGAGTAGTAGTAAAACTGATTCTGGTCACAACTGTAATCCATATGCTAAGCAATGCTTTTTTATGGTTGCATGCTAACTTTATGGATCTATTATGTATAAACTGAAACAAACATAATTGTAACAGATCCAAAACCTGATTATGACTTTTGGCATTCAAGCACATTTTGTTTCTTAACAACATAGTTAAAGAGATGTGTTTCTTTAAGATAATTGTGTTTACCATGAAGATAGACATTTTTAAAGACCATAATGTCCACACATATTCTGTGCTATGTATTGTAGCATGGGGAACATTACATTGATGTGTGTTTGACAATTTTTTATAGTAATAAATAAGGAACAATAAAGCTTTGATTCAAGAATTATGAAGATATTGGCTGATATATGGAGGTTTTGATCTAGGATGCTGAGCCAAATCTGCATAGTACCCATAATATGGCAATAATAGCACTGAGCTATTTTGTTCAAGAGAGCCAGTTGATTTACTGGTTAAGACACTTGGCTAGAAACTTGGGGAGTCTGAGTTCTAGTTGTGTTTTAGGCACAAAGCCAGCTGAGTAACCTTGAGCCAATCATATTCTTTCAGCGCTGGGAATGGAAGGGCAATGGCAAGCCACTTCAGTTGTCGGGAACAATGAATAAAAGGCGCACATACACAAAAACACAAAAGTTCATAAACTCCTTTTAAATTGTTTCAGCCTCAGAAACTTTTAACCGTCTGATATGATTGAAATATGTCAAAAGTATCCAGGAAATCTTGCAGAACTGCATAGCTGCAAGTTGCAAATCTAGACTATGATTGTAAAATTGTAGATATTATATTTTCTTTATACTGGTAGTAAAATGCATAGTTCATCTTAACCTCTGTTTATGTTCCTAAGGCATATATTCAAGTGTTAACTAATTCCAGCATTGTGACTGGCTTTTAATAAAGTATGCATTTGTATACAACATTTTCTTTCTATATTGTACCTCTTTTACTTTTTTTCTTGAGCATGTTGAACAGTTTTGGCATGACAACACTGTTGGGACTCTATAAAGAATTTCTGAATAGGGTCTCTACTTAAGAGGAGGAGGAGTTCATATAAAATATCTTAATGGAATTGTATTTACCCCAGATGCACAAAGAATTCGCATCTGGGGTAAATAATTTAAATAGGCTGTCAGCAGCTGCATAGATCTGTTTGTCAGTAATGATTCCTTAGCTCAAAATGAACTTTTTAAAATTCATTTTAAAGTAAACTGCTCATCTGGGAATAATTTTTAAATGACAAAATGCATTCAATTTAAAAAGTCCCAACTGGCAGTTTGGCTATTATATTTTAAATTAATCAAAGATTTCAAACAATCTTCAATTTTTTTTTTCATATATATCACATTATAGCAGTTGAACCTAGATATTTCACAAAAATGTAAAAGTATAGCAATTCATTGTCTCTTGCCCTGTTGTGTTCATATTTTCCTGTTTAGTGTTCTTAATCTAAAGGCACATAATGCAGCCATTTAAAGTTTAACAAATCTGAGTTTGGGTATATTCAGGATAGGAAAATATGTGTGAAAAAAATTATGCTTTTTGCCTCAAGAACTGCAGATTCACATTGCAGTGAAATAAATGGGTGCTTCCAATAGCAGATTGATCCACTTGAACAGGGGTGTCAAACTCAAAGCCCAGGAGCCAGATCCGGCCCGCAGGGTGCTTAGATTGGCTCATGGGGCTGCCCTGGAAACAGCGAAGGACCGGCCCACAGTGCTTCTGCCAGTGAAAATGGACCTCGGGAGGGTCGCACGCAGCTCTCCCAAGCTCCATTTTTGGCTGCAATGGCCTCCTGCAACCCTCTGCCAGCGTAAATGGAACTCGGAAGGGCTGCTCAGGCCACCACAGGGGTCCCTGACACGAGTGATGTTGAGCTGGCCACGCCCACCCTGGCCATGCCCACCCAGCCCCCAAAAGTCAAACACAACCCTGATGTGGCCCTCAATGAAATCGAGTTTGACACCCCTGCACTAGAACAAAATCTATTTATATTTTAGCTCCTGTTTCTCAATCATTTTCTCTCTCTCCTGATCACTGAAAAAAGAAAAAAAGGAAAAAAAACAGAACCATCCTGACTATCAGAATACAGTCTGTTATCTTTTTTCACTGGTTTCTCATATGCATTTGATCATTATGGGCATTTAAGAAGGCTCTGAAAAATTTACCAGGCTTTCATCTTTCTGTGAGTCAGAAGATTGCAGGTATAATGGCTTTTATGGATACCGCTGTAGACATATGGCGCTTTGCATTAAATTTTAACCGTTTGGGATTAGTGAGTTAAATATCTTCTCTTGTAAGAAGCACACCATAGCTTGGAAAATGAAGAGCAGTCAGATTCTCTCTGGTTTTTACATTCTAGCTTCTCTTGGGAAGGCATTTCTCTTCTCCTGCTGTGATTGCTGAATAATACCAGAATGGCTAAGACACTTTTGATATGGTAGAAAGAATCTTGCTGGAAGTAATGGAAAGGAACAGCTAGAACTAAATCCACATTTCTCAGTCATAGTTCTGAAAGTACTTCTGTAACTCTTCTTTTTTACATTCTACTCTCCTCTATCCTGAACATTTTGTGGCAATTGATGTTTTCATTTTCCTATTTTGTGGGGACTTTCATTTTCCCCATAGTACCTTGAAGGGACTCTGAAGCAAGGACATTGTGCAGGGTCCAAAGCAGCTGTTAGAGGCTTGTGGTTGCTACAAGAATAACATTTAAAAAAAAAAAAGAGGGCAAAAGGAAGAAAAATTAATGGTGAAAACCATCCCA